ATGGCACAGTGAACATTCCATCAAAGTAAATGCTGCCTACTGAAGTTTTCCCTCCTAATGGCATTTTGCCCTGTGGTAAGTGAAATATGCCAAAATATGATATATAAAAACTCTGATATGCTAAAAAGTTCCAAAACTCTTTCCATATTCATACAGAACTGGAACTACATCTTGTATTTTATTTTAATATACAACTTATAACTAACAAAAATAAATCTCAGAAAGAGTATCGAAAAGAGAATAGATTTTAGACTGTAACAAACTAAACACTTCAGGTGAATTGCTGAAGTGACATATAGCTCAGTTCCAAATAACTAAAATAATTCTCATGAATGGAAAATGATTACTTATTTATACAACCTAGTCTCATATCTCACATACAGACTCTTCTAAAAGAAGAACACCATACAAAGATATTCTAAGGATAGGCTTTTTTAAAAAAATTAAGAGAAACACGTTAGTTCCAGGATTGAGGACTACCCCAGCCAATGAACATCGGTATAGCAGGAACAACAGTAGTTCTCTTACCGAGTTACGACATAAAAAAATGTATCAGCTGAATAGTTCCCAAACGATGTCTTGTTCTTCTGGCTATTGTATTTAATTTGAGACAGTCTGTAATTATAGAGAAATTCTAGAAGATACTTTTCTCAAACTGAACACTTATAATAATTAACATTTATATTGAATTTTACCACTTCTAATGTACTTTAGCAATGCTCAAAGTGAAATCATTTTATTTGCTTACATAACACACATTATTGTTACATGTAGATTTTGTTATAGTTTAGAAAAATTCAGAAAGTCATTTCTTTAATTTAGAGGTATAGGAACAAGGTGGGCTTATCTTATGTGACAAACATGTCATGGAGGAAAGAAATATGCATGAATTTATATGTAAACTTGCACACACTAGCCAGCCATCAATTATACATTGCTTGTGGATCATTACCAGCCTCTGTGCTTTGACCTGTTTTAAGAGCTTATCACTTGCATCGTGGTCCATCCACCCCAGGAGAGGGGAGACACAGTATTCCTAATGCATAAGCGGACTCCAGTGCTTCTATGATGTGACAGACACATAGTTACATGGAAATCATCTAACAGAGCCAATTCGGTCCCAATGGTGCAAGTCTCATTTCTAGGATATAGAATGCTTCTGTGCAATAATTTTAGTATAATATTTAATTGCTTTTTTTTAGTATTAGTTGTATTTTATAAGTGTAAAATTAAATAAAACTTCTTAAAATTATGGAGAGCCACTCATACCTTAATCCCCTAAACATACTCATCTTAACTCTTGCATTTATATTACTGATTGTCTTGCTAGTCTCTTGCTAAAAGTGATAGGAAAGCACAGTGCTAGTCTGTGTCTCCTTAGAACACACAACCAAGACATGCAGGGCCACTTCTAGCAAACTTTTCTCTTGTTGCAGCAATGTTCCATTTGGTTTAGATATTAATTTTAAATGAAGGGTACTACCTAAACCAGATTTACCCCTGACAAGATAAAAACTTAATGTCAGGTAAGCCTCTCAGAATTGAGGTTATTTCTGCAACATAGACAGGGTAGAACCGAACTTGCAGAGGCCACATAGTAGATTATTATCCAGACAAAGCAAAGACAATAAAATACTAGAAAACAAGATGTATCAAACATCTGTTAAAAATATTTTTTAAAGCCCCAAACTAAGCATTGACATAAAAAGAAGTCCAAGGCTAACTTTCATCTTGAGGGTGTATACGGAACTTGGGCTTCAGTTTCTAGGGCCTGTGAGTACTAAAGGTCATCAGGGGACAAAGCACAGGGCCTGGCCAAGGTGGAAATCTAAAAGGAAACTGTACCAGACAAAGTGGAGATCATAAATATCAAGATGAATACATATAACACTCCCTTGGACTGCTAGGAAAACTGCCCAAACAGACTTTGGCACTCCACACCTAACAAGAGGGGAAAAAAGTCTCTTTTATGCATTTTCAACCAGGTGTCAAATTCCCAGCAGTCTTACATTCAGAACCAACACTGCCAATGCAGTCCAAAAAAGTCACAAACAAAATGTTCTAAGTTGTTAATGCCCCCCTAGAACTGGGCTAGGCGTCTACTGAGGAGATTGGCAAAAGCAAATGTAAATTCTCCATGGGCTGACTTTTTAACCCATGTTTCAAATGATTCCCACAGATAGGTTCTCAGCATTGTGAAGTCATAGCCAAAACTTGAAAAACAAAAAAACAGAAGAAACTGAGGTTACAAAGTAGAAAAGCAAAAGTGAACCTAAGAGACACTTAGAATTATTATTATTTTCTAGAATATAAAATAAATTTGATAATTATGTTTTAAGAAAGAGCCTTGAAAATGTGAGTGAAGGGCAAGCATATGAGAACGAAGAATCGTGGCAGGAACTGAAAACCCAGAGGATGGGTCAGCAGCAGAGCAGACACAGCGGAAGTGGGAGCGTAACTAGTGCACAGAGGTGATAAAGAACTTTAGAATGCAGCTCAGAGAGGTTAAGACAGAAAATATGAAAGAAAAACTTTGAGATATATATGACACAAATATTGGATCTCACGTACATTTGACTAGAGGTACAGAAGAAGGGGGAAAGAGATTAGAACAACATTTGAAATCATAATTGATGACAGACAGTAACGCATAGATGGAGGAAATCCAATAAATCCCAAGCTGCGTTCTAGAAGGCCCACAATGACACCACGATTGTGTTTAAGATGCAGAATATCAAAAGCAATGAAAAGATCTTAAGGCAGAAGTCATTTTTTTGATGTGGCTTTTTCTAACATTTAATCTTCCAATTGTACGCTTTAAATATTACTATACTGCGTCTTTAACTAATAATCTATTAACCACAGTATCTACACAGAGAAAGTTATAGTTGACTACTTTAGCTAATACACCTTCAATTCAATACAAAACATGTAGTATAATAAAGCGTAGTGCCTCACAGTGTTCTAAAACTTCAAAAATTGCTATTTGACGAATGCATAATTCAGTAAGAAATCTAAGAAGCAAATCTATGCACGTCACGTTGCTAATTAAAATCTTTTAAGGACTTCCCAAGACCTATGGTAAAAAGTTCACATTCAATTGTGTGGAATGTAAGGCTCTTCACAATCAATATTCCAACCAGCTTTTTAACTCTTGCTTTCTAACATTCTTCCACACCATACCCCATATTTTTGCTGCACAGAAGTGCCTGCAGATTCTACGATACATCTTGTACCTCCTTGTTTCTTCACTGGCTCTTTCTGGCTTGAATGACTGTTCCATCATCTCCCAAAGCAAACATCTACTAACCCTTGGAGATTTTTGAAATGTAAGCTCAGCAGAAAGTATGCTCCACAAAAGCAAGTGTTTGTTTTTTGTTTGCTATAGAGCCTGGCATACAGCAAGTACTCAGCAAATAGTGTTGGATTAAGTGAATAAAATGTGAGTGAAGACTTTCCTTATAACACCCAGATTATTTCTTCTTTCATCCTCTTTAGGTACTAATCATTACATTTTTATAAATGTCTCCTTCATTGGAAATGAACTAGAGAGTAAAGATCATATGCAACAATTTATTTTTATCCCTAACTGCCCAGCAGTACAACAGATAGGTGGCAGGCACTCCTAAGTGTCTGCTGACTAAATAAATGGATAATTTTGGAACAGGGACCTGGCAGGTGCTGCTCTGGGCACCTCCTCGCTGCAGGTGATGCCTTGAGCATCACTTAGGGCAATGCTGCAGCCTTGCCTTACTGAGTCAGGAAGTCTCAAAACAAAGTTTTTAACTGCCCTGATCAAAACAGATGAAGGCCGGGCAAGTTCCAACCAGTCAGAACCAAGATGGCAGAGAAACATCACCCCTCCCATGCATATTCCTCCACTTCTTCATTCTGTTGCTTAAATAGAAAGGCAATGGGAACTGGAGCTGGCTGCACAGGCTGGTTCTCTTCTGGAGGAAGAGACAGCCTCTACTCTGTAGAGTAGACACTTCCTTTTCTGTAGTTTCTGAATAAGCTTCACTTTCACTTTATTCTGTTGGCTTGCTGCTGAATTCTTTCTTGTGTGAAGCCAAGGATCCACCTGAAAGTCAAGTGGCTTCTGGCATCATGAGTCACTTGCCTGGGTAAGTATGGGGTTTGAAATCTGAATTCTTCTGCGTTCCTCCACAAGGGGAAGTAACAAGGGTAGAAAATGCAAAGAACCAGAAAGAAAAAAAAAAAGCAAACTGGCTAAACAATGGTGAGCATGCATTAAATTTGCAATATTAGCCAAACAATTTTTAATAATGGCATGCTATAGATGGTGGATATTTGACAAGGTGGAAGCAAAATTATAAGTAGAACACTGCAATGAGAGGCAAAAGAGAAAAGAATTATCTATTACTTTAAAAAAAAAGTTACCCAAATGATTTTTTTTAACTGAAATCTATGAATGTTATTACATTTGTTTATTTAGTAAGCATTATTATGTTCTATGCGCTACGCTGGTAGAAAATGTTCTTAATATTTGTCATTGGAAACAAATGACATCACTATTAGAAATTTATTCTGAGGCTATGAAATTAATAATCAGGGAACTTATGAATAGTGAAAGCTAAAGATTTTCTTTTCAGTGCTTAACAAAATCAAATCCAAAATGAAAATTCCATGGGAAACATTGCCAAGCTTTTTGTTTCCCTTGTTGAGGCTTTTCTCAAGTGTCATTCATATTCAGCTGCTCAGAACACAAAAGTGCTAAATTTAATTCTTAGTCAATTTAATTAGAAGTTACAAGATTTTCTCTTTTTTCCTGAGCATAAGAAGATGAAAACACTGAGGCTTCTCCTCCACATGTTGCTGGTCTGTAACCTGGGCAGAAGGCTACAGCAGCCACCAGCAGGCACACCTGGTCCGCTTCACTCCAAGGTCAAAGACACAAGCAGGGGCAGAGTTTTCTCTGAGTCTGAGCAAAGGTTAGAAGGTGTGTGAAGGAAAGTACGGTAGATTTACTTTTCACTTACTGGTTGGAGCAGGTAGATGAGAGATTCCTCTTGGATTATTATAATTGGCAAAGGAGTGATGTGAGTCGCTTGGAACAGGGTATTCACAGATGCCATAATCTGGTCAAAACGCCCAGCAAGGCCTCCCAGCGTCACGATCACATCAACCTAAGCAAAGCAGGTAAAACGGAGTCACAAATGTAAAGAATTTTTAACAATTAAATAGCATCAAACACCTAACTAAAGCTCTCAACACTGTATTTTATTTGATAAGCAATAAAGAAAACACATAATTTCTGTTCTTCAGATAAAGACATTATTAAGTTGCTTGATCAGGGTCAGATAGTCTGCAAGCAGCATGGCCAGGGGTCAAGATCAACTCTTTTTAGTACATATTCTAAGTTTTTTTTCCATTTGCCTATTTACCTAGAAAACTAGCCAGGTCTTCCATTTATGTATTCCTTTCATGTGGAAGTCTTCTCTGACTTACAATTATCAGCACAGTCAAAGCCAATATACTGATTGCAAAAGAGGAATAGCTGAACTAAAATATTTTAGAAAACCTTACATATAATAGAAACTGGCAGTAGCATTCATTCTATCTGGTATAAAATAGAAGTTGTTCAAACATAAGGTGTATTTGGTTTTTAGGTTTTAAAATAGTTACCTTGGATTAAAAAAGGCTTAGATAATATACAACTGATGCAGATGGCATAGTTTTAGAAGAACAACCTGGTACCCAAGCACTGATGACAGAACTTGTTTAATTCCTAGAAGAATAATTGATGGTGTGAGACCCATGGAGCCAAAGGCTGTGTTTCTGTGGTTCAATGGTTATTGCCTGGTATTTTACATAGTGCCTTGAAAAACAAATGCTCAAGAACTTTGTACATGAATAAATGAAGACGTTGAAAGAAAAGACTCATTACCCTAACTATGGAAGAAACCAATAAACTGGCATACTGTGAACGTATATAAATCAGACAAGGTTCCATAAAAACATTAAATTACAGAGAAGAACCAGGAAGTTTGAAATGAGTTTCCTGTTTCTGACCTAGCTAAGTGTAGTAAAAAGGGAAATTTTTTACTTTGGATAAAATACTTTCTGTCAAACTTAAAATATTTTAAGAAGACAAACCACATATCTATGGGAATCCTTCCAGTACTCCAAAATGACCAAGTTTGGGGTCCAAAAGGCCATGCACCTTAGTAAACATGCTCTAAACACATGGGCAAAGCCAGGGACATCTGTCAATCTTTAGAGTAATGTAAGCAATTTAGACTTAGACTTGTCAAAGATAGAGCTTCTGTTTGGGATATGAAGGTAGATAAATGGCTTCTATTCTGGTTTAGGAGGTTTCATTAAGAAAGCACACCAGACCAGTTGGGAAAGGCCCAGGGATTAAATATGACGAAAGTATATGAATACAGAAAAAGTTTTAAGGCACCAGTAAAAAGGCCACAGCATCTTCCCATCCACACAATCTTAAATTCCCATAAAAAAACAAGGTCTGATAAAAGTTTATTCACTGTACAGATTCTGGAACCCCTTTACCAGGGTCTCAATTTTTCATTACTATATGCTAAACCTTGAGAGATCCCATAACCCTTAAGAATGAAACTTAATCCCCTTCATCTACAATGTGATGTCATTCGTGGGACGAATGAGCAATATCTATAAATCAATCATTGCATTTTTCAGACGAAAGCAGCAACAAGATCACTTCTCATCACTATTCATTTTCTCTACAGGAAGTATTTAGCAAGACTGATTAAAAACATTACAGGATCAATGAACCTGCAGGTGAGGTGGGGGAGGAATTGGCTTCAAACTATTTTTGCATTTCTCTAGTTCTGGCTGTGAGTAGGGCAGCTGATACAGAGATAGGAGAAAGAGGACATGTACTACTCCTGAATTTTTTACAGAGGTAGATTTATGTCTTTTAAGACAATGCCACTGGGATAGGGTGTTCAATCTAAAATAGACCATTTATAGACCACAAGTGTGCCTTTTCTATGAGAAGCCAAATCCCTGTGTGCATTTATTTGTAACATCACTCAGTCACACTTTGTTGTAACTACTGACATATTTGTCTATCTCTCCTTCTAGAGAGGGGCCATGAATCACAGCCAATAGCAGAGTGTTTGCAACAAGAGAAGATAACAGGTATTTACTGAGCTTCCCTGAACATATAAAAAACTCAGGAAGAACTGAATATATAACTATAGAGGCAAGAAGCTAATTATTAGGCTGAGTTAACATCTAATTCCTAAAAATTAGTATTTCACTGCTTAGTAAGCATTCCAGAAGTTAGCAGCTCTTGAAAAAAGTTAACATATCACATTTATTATCTCAGATACACAACTAATGAATTTATAAGGTTTGCTTACAAGTGAATGACAAGTGAGAAAAACTCAGCCACTATTGATCATTTACCACGTGCTAGGAAATACTGTAAACTCTTAGAATATAACAGTAAAGAAGACAAAAACATCTGCCTTCATGGGGTTGATATTCATATGGAGGACAACATAAATTTGATAAAAATTGAAAAGTAAGTATGTTAAAATGTGAAAAGGGTGGTAAATGTTGAAAGGAGAATAATAGAATAGAGAAAGATAAAAAATGCTGGTTGGGAGGATGATTCACTTTAAATAACATAGCTAGGGTAAGCCACATGGGAAACTAACATAGTAGCAGCAAAGACCCAGAAGAGGTTGAAGAAGTTAGCCACACATATGAATACCCCGGGCAAGGGTAAGAGTTGAGGCAATGTTTCAGAAAACAAATTATAGTAAAGCCATGAAGTTACATAAATCCATCAAGGTCAAGGAGTTTCAGGAGGTTACTGGCTAGAACAAAATGAGAAATTAGTAGGAGCAGGAAAAATCAGAGTAACATGAGAGTTATATTTGCATAGAGCTTTGTTAAGTCATTATAAAGTCCTTCACATCTGTTAGCATTAAATGAGGAGATATTCTGAGTAGAGGAATGATATGAGCTACATATTTAAAATGTCACCATGCTGAGAATAAACTGTGGGGAGCTGAAGAAAGAGTTCAGAGACAACAAGAGATCATGGTAGAAATACAGACAAGAGATAAGTATCCCTGCCCCTATCACTCCATTGGTCATGATTACTCATGGCATCTACACTGCAAAACACAGTGGTCAAGTCACAGTCCTATATTACTTGATTCATCCATCAATATCTGACAAAAAGAGTGAAGATAGCTTAAGAGACTTACGAGACACCACCAAGTGTAATAACTACTACTTACTCATTATCAGTGTACTCAATGGAGAAGACGGAAAAAGGGACAGAAAACATATCCAAAGAAATAATAGTAGAAAACTTCCCAAAGCTGGGGAAGGAAATAGAAAGCCAGCTCCGGGAAGCTCAATAAGAGGAATCCAAAAAGGACCTACACCAAGACACATCATCAAATTGTCAGAAGTTAAAGACAAAGAGAGAGTGTTGAAAGCAGCAAGTGAAAATAAAATGAATTGTCATATTAATATAAAGAAAACTCAGATTTGTCAGCAGATTTTTCCATGGAAAATAACACAGGCCGGCGGGGAATTGGCTGATGAATTTATAATAAAATCCTGAAACAAAACAAAACAAAACCAACTATCAACAAGAATGCCACATTCAGCAACCCATTCTTCCAAAAATGAATAAGTGATAAAGGCTTTCTCAAAGGAAAAATAATGGAGAGACTTTATGACCGCTACACTTGCCTTACAATACTAAAGGGAATTCTTCAAGCAGAAGGAAGAGGACACTAACTAGTAACACACAAAAAATAAAAGTATAAAACATCTTTTGAAAACATAAAAGTATACCATCAAATCCAAAATGTTTTAATACTGTAATGGCACTGGATAAATCAATTACATCTATGGTATAAAGGTTAAAAGGCAAACTTATCAAAAAAAAAAACTACAGCTACAATAATTATTGAGAGATACAAACTGTGAAAAGATGTAAAGTGTGATAATAACTTAAAATGTGGAAGACAGACAGGCAAAACTGTAGAGTTTGTGTATTCAATTAAAATTAGTTTGCTATCTACTTAAAATAGCTAGTTATAATTATGTTTTATATCATCTTTAAGGTAATCACAGAGCAAAAGGTATAATATGAGATTATATATATTATACTTATTTTATATCTATTTTCTCATAGAAAATGAGATTTAAAAGAAAAGAATGTTAATCAGTTTGATTTAAGCATTCCACATTGTATATCAAATCATCACATTCTGCCCTATAAATGTATACTGTAACTAAAAATTAAATTAAAAAATATAAAAAACCCAGAAAATAATTAACAAAATGGCACTAGTAAGTCCCACCTATCAATAAGAACTTGACATGTAAATGTATCAAATTTTCCAATCAAAAAGCACAAAGTAGCTGAATAGAGTTGTGTGTTTATTTTTTTTTAAGACCGAAACATGTACTGCATGCAAGAGACTCACTTTACCTTAAAGGACACTCAGATTAAAAGTGAAAAAAACAATATGAAGGAAAAAGATATTCCATAGAAATGGGAACAAAATCAAGATAGGGACACTCTATTAAAAACAACAGACATTAGGTCAAAAACAGTAAAAAGATACAAAGAAGGTCATTATACAATGATAACAGGACCAATTCATCAAGAAGATACAATAATTGTAAAACACCCAACATCTGAGCACCTGAATATATAAAGCAAATGTTAAGAGATCTGAAGGAAGACGTAGACTATTATATAATAGTAGTAGGACATTTCAATGCCCCACTTTTAACCTCAGGTAGATCAATACAGACAGAAATTCAATAAGAAAACATTGACTGCATTTTAGACCAAAGGGCCCTAATAAATATATACAGAATATTGTACCCAAAAGCAACAGAATGCATAGTCTTCACAAGTGCAAACAAAATATTATTTAGAATAAACTGTATGTAATGCTACAAAATAAGTCTTAACAAATTTAAAACGACTGAAGTGATATCAAGTATCTTCAACATAGTCTGGAAGTCCTAGCTAGAGCAATTAGGCAAGAGAAAGAAATGAAAGGCGTCCAGATAGGAAAGGATGAAGTGAAATTGTCCATGTTTGTTGATGACATAATCTTGCATATTGAAAACCCTTAAAACTGCACCAAAATAC